GAAAAATTCGAGGTGGGCCGGCTGTCCACAACCCGCCAAGTGACCAAACGATGATTGGATAAGACGTCGGATGACTTGAGCTTGTGGTTCCCTTTGGTCTTGTCCTTGGCCTTAGAAGCCGGGTGAATGTGACACTCGGTGCACCTGGGCTTGCCGCACTTACCCGTGAACTTGGAGTGGTTGGTAGGCTTGGTGGCCACCTTGGTGAACAACCCGGCTGTAGTAGGTGAATCGAACCTGTTCACGTGTCGGGTTCCGGGTCTTGGGTTCAATGGGTCGGGTAGGACCCGGTAAGTCCGGACCATCCCGTGCTGGCGACCCTCTCTCTTCATTGTTGACAAAGGGAGCTGTGGGCTGAATGAAAGATTGAAAGAAGGATGAATGATGGAGGTGTTGAGTTGTGCCCTCTCTCATTATATAGTGTTGCTTGTCGGAATGAAAACTTGGGAAGCACGGTCTTTGGTTTGGTAGGTCCTAATTCTTGTGGACCAAGCCAATAAATCATTAAAGATTGACAACTCACCAAGATAAAGAATATATCTTTTTCGCTTTTTTTTTTTTTCTTCTTTTCAATATTTTTTATATGTTTTATATTTATAATTATTTTATAAAGCAAGTACTTTTGTTTTAATAAAGCAAGTACTTGGCAATGGCCAATTGCTTATGCTTGACGGTATGCATATGTCTGTTTCTTGATAATGATGCCCACTTACATGTTACAGGGTTGACCCTGGATTTTTATTATTTATTTTTCACGTGGCTAATGGAAATTATACAAAGTTGTGATGAGAAAAGGTGTGAGCCCCAAGGCAAAGGGACACTGCAACCTGTTTTTATTCAGGGTATAATTGGATCCTGAAGGAATCAGAATTTGAAACATGTAAAAGAAGGAATCTTCGGTTTAACATCTAACCATCCTGACTGGAACCTGTTTTCTGAAACTTGATTATGGAAAATCATACCTTCTTAATTTTACATTTCTTGAAAAAGTTTCTACTCTATATCACCTGGTCTAATGCTACTTCATCCCAGGCTTTTGATACCTTGCTTCGGAAGTTACAAAGGTATGTCCCTCAAGGATCATCTGTTGCTGACTTGTATGCAGGAGCTGGTGTAATTGGATTATCATTAGCTGTGACAAGAAAATGCAGGCAAGAATTGGGATAATTTGAATGTATAAAACCTCAAAAGTTCAGTCTTTATTTTTAAATATAAGACATTCTGATATGGAATTATTATTGTTTTCTAGGTCTGTTAAATGCATCGAGATTAACAAAGAATCAAAACTATCCTTTGAGAAGACAGTTGACCGCCTGCCAAACTTAGTAGATAGCAGTATCAGCTGGCATCTTGCAGATACTTCTAAAGTTGGTAACCCCTTGAAATTTTTTATGTATATATCTTAAATTTTTACCTCATAGTAGAGATCTCTGTTTTCTTCAGGTTTAGATGTTAAATATGGCGATAATTTGTTAAAGAGAAAGTATGAGAATAAATTTTAAATTATTATTTAGTATGTGAATTCTTCCGAATTTCATGTTTATATTATAATGTATACAAAGCAATTTTCAAGGTTTCTCCGTTATTGTTCCTTTATGATTTCTGCAGAATAGTTGGGTTTGTAATATTTCTCACATATAAACTAGGAACCTCTTTCTTGGATCATGGGATCAGATGTACTTGTTGTGGATCCTCCTAGAAAGGGACTGGATGCATCTCTTGTTGATGCATTGCGGAGTATATCTTCAGCCGAGTATAAAGCTAAGTCATCCTCAGAGAGGTTAGACCCTTTCTACATTCAAAATATTGAAGTCAAGGACCTCACTGGTGGTCCTAGTGGAAAGTAATTAGTTCCAATAATTTATATGTCAACTCAGTTCAAGCTCAAAAGAAAAGGATGAGAAGAGACCATGGATGCTCCGTGCAAGAGAAGCTTCACTAGTTCATATTGGAAGCAAAATAACTTCAGAGGATAGCAAAACATTGCCTCGAACCCTTATTTATATTAGTTGTGGATGGGAAAGCTTCAAAGAGGTATAAATTGGTTGCTACAAAGTTCCATGAAATAATTATATTCTGCTCTGATTATCCAATCCCGTCTTGGTCTGGTTTGACTGTCACCATTTTTTACCTCTACGTAATTTGGGATTGATTTTTCAACAGGATTGCGAGTTGTTATTGTCTAGCAAGGCATGGAAGTTGGAAAAAGCCCACGGATATAATTTTTTCCCTGGAACCCAGAGGTATATATCAGTTTCTATTCTTTAACCCCCTTGTTTCCAACGTATGATGCATCTTATTACAATTAAATTGCATGGATATGCATATATACTATAGTTTCTTTCAAGATTTCCCGCATTTCATTCAGACGTTGTATTGCTAATTCCATCATCTTTGCATTTAATACATCTTTTTGCTTTCCAGTTTCTTTTTTGCTAAGTTTTCCATGACAAGTTTTTATTTATTTTTTCCATGATTGCAGCATCGAGGTTTTAGCTGTGTTCAAGAGGGGCCAAGGTGTCAGCCTAAAGAAAAAGAAATTAGGAAAGAAGAAGAAGAAACGCTTGTGAAGAATTTTCAATGTTGTATTTTGCTGGGGTTATTACTAGAAGAAGAGTAGGATAATCTATCTAGTAGAGTGAGAAAATAACAAAACCAATACCTCTGTGTTGTTTTCCCTTTTGAAGAAAGGAATTTTGTTCATCATCAACTGAGACATGTGTGATATGAATAGTTACAAGTGAATGAAATTGCAGATTGTTGTGTTACCTGACTCCTTTGGAATTGGATGAAAGAATAAATAATTGAGTAAAAAATAATAATAAAGAAAGCGATGTCTTGCATCAGGAAAGCTGCTAGTTCCGTTGGTTGAGGAGAAGACGTTTTCAGTTCCCCTTCTCTCTGCTCGTGGTTTTCGTGAGATGTGGAAAGGCATTCAAAATGTTGTAGGCTATTAAATCCTGCCTGGTTAAGATCCCAACCACGGGAGGCACCTATAAATGGAGCACACGTTGAGGTTAGTGATATTGGCCTTTCCAAATTTTAGTGTATAACGAACGACCATCTTGAATAAATTTGCTAAATGTACTGAATAAATATGCTTAGGTGTAAGTAAGTTGTAACTCTAGTTAACAAGTGCATGGTGTTTAGTAAAATGAGAATGCTTGATCAAATTACCCCAGCTGCTTCATACTTTGGCACAATGAGCAAATGGCGGAGTCCCAGTTGTCTGAAAAGCACCATAGCTTTTGCTACTGACATGCTTTCCATCACTGTATAAGGTGTTGTATTGGTGAGGGGATGCAGATCTACATACATCTCCATTTCTTCACTTGTCACAGCCACCTCCTCGATCTTTCCTTCCCTCTCAGCCAACTCAACCCAGGTAAATTTCTCTCTCACTTCCCACTCCTCTGTTCTTCTTTTCTCTCTTTGAAACCATTTCTTCTTCAGCACATGAACAAGGTGAGCTCGAAGGATTAGTCCATGTACTTCTGTTGCCCCAACGGCCAATCCTACTGGTGGCACCACTCCATCATCTATAACAGGGAAACCATTGTGTGTGGTGTTTCTCAGGACCTCCACAATACTTTCCACCGTTTCAATTCCACGAAGGGTGACTACTGGCAGCTTGGCATCAGCAAGCTCACCTACGGTCAGATTCCTCATCCATGGTTCTGGATGTGCATCCAAGAAAGGCAAACCTTTTAAATGCAGTATAATCTCATAGATGCTTGGGTTGAAGCTGTCTCCTACTGTTTTGGCAATTAGGAGGACAATCATTGTTATGGGTAGTAAGAGGAGGTTGTTGGTGAGCTCAAGAAATATGACACATAGTGAAACTGTCATCCTCATTGATCCTGCCATTAGAGAAGCTGCACCAAGAACAGCAAAAAGCCCCTGGTCAATGTTCGTATAGGATTTCATGGCGATACCAAGCATGCGGCCATAAGCTGACCCCATAAGGATGATGGGGAGGAACAGTCCAGATGGCACAGCAATTCCAAATGTAAACAATGCTAAGATGCAATAAAGTGCGAAGAAGATTAGGAGGGAGATAGGATGGTATTCGGTGGATGTGGTAGTCGAGAAGATGTTTCGAACTGCATCATCATTAGTGGCAAGGAGAAGAGTAGCCAGGTCATTGTAGTGGCCATCTGGGCAGTTGAATTTTTTGAAGTTTCCAGACCCTGCATTGGTGGGGCAGACAGACTCTGCAAGAGAGGAATCACAGGGTGTGCATTCGACGAGGAAAGGGAGACCATATAAGCATGCAGAGGTAAAGAGTGATACACTGAGACTGAGGAGGACCTTGTGAACTTTACCCTTCCTGCCAAGAGAGTAATTCAAGAAGTAATTATTACTATCAAGTTGACATCACATTGTGTTAGTTGTCAAACATGGAATAACCATTTCTCTCAGATTACAAAAAGCACGGTCAGCTGAGTATATTCTGGTGTTGGCTTAGCTTTGCAAGGTTACTTTACATCCTAAAATCCGTTTATGTTTATGACTACAAGATTGAAGTTTGGATTAGGTTGCTTACTGATTTATGAGATTGTATAGTCTGAGGATCTTGTGGAGAAGAAAGTTGTACAGGCTTCCCAATACTCCACCAATAATGCCAATTACAACTACGGGGATGATATCCATCATATGGTACGTCACAGTAACAGTGCTTACATCGAACATGATAAGCCCTCCTTTTCCAAAAAGCCCACATCCCCCGGAATTGCATATTTCAATGAAAGTTCTAAGCACCACGACCACAATGGCTGTGCTGAAGAAAGTTCTCCAGAGAAGGGCACTCCTCCACCATGTTGCCACCTCTTCAAGAGCAAACAGTACGCCACCCACAGGGGCTCGGAAAGCTGCACATACCCCAGAGGCAGCGCCACAAGTAATGAGATCCCGGCGGTCACGGTCATTATTGAAGTAGCGGAGCCAGCGCCATTTGATACGGTGATTGTCAGGTCCCCCTTGGCCTAGTAAGGAAGCAATGCAGCTTCCAATGTGCACTAGAGGTCCTTCTTTTCCAAGATCTAGGCCTGCAGAGACAGCCCCAATGCTTCCGATTATCTGCAACATGAAAGTTTATCATGCCACTTAGCTTTATACATAGAAGAAATTAAGTAAAATCTCTCGTGTACTGTGTTAAGCAGTTTTATTATTTAGCTTTCTTTTCTTTTTCAATATCGTAACTGATTCTAATTTTAAGAGTAGTTTAATAGAGCAGTCACTTACTGAAATTATCTTGAGACATTTTCAATTTTAAAAAGCCAACCCACCTTGACAATCATTGTTGTAGCACCAAACATATTGGGAGTGTCCACTCCGTTTAGATAAGCTTTGATTTCAGGTATACCAGGTCCGGCCGCAGTGGGTGCAAAACACACGCAGAGAACGGAAGCAACAGTGGTCAGTAGGAGATTGGCCCCAGCTAAATAGATGAACCCCATGAGGTACCTACACCACATAATTCCCACACATTGTTTTTGTTGTCACAGAGAATTGAACAGACTATAATATGAGATTTTGATTGACGTAGGTGAATATAACATTGAGAGTGTGGTTAGGAATGCAACAAACCTTTCTTTCTCTATGAAACTAACTGCGGCAAGAAGCTTGTAGCCAGCAATATTCTCAACTGCAAGGTTAATGAGGGTGGCAATTATACCAGTTAAAAGTCCAACAAGGAAGGCGAGAATCCATTTCAAGAATATATACTGCAAGACTTGGACTTTGGATCTGCTTCTCCAGTCATGCTTAAAGAGATCATTCTCGTTGATCCTGCATCAAACCAACTCCAATTCAATGTGAGGATGAAGAGAATAAGGATTTAGCATTTGGGAGTTGCTTTCAAGTGAAACTTGAAATGGGATGTGTGTTAGTTCTTACTCATAGTCCAAGCTCTCTATGTAGGAGACTTTTGCTCCAACTATAGCCAGTGGACTGGAAGAGAGTGTCCGGTTTCTCCGGAGGAGTGGTTGACTCAGTGAAATGCTTTCTGGATCTCTTTCTTCCCCATCATTAGATTCTCCTTGCATGTTGAGAGGAATTGCAGCTGATTCTGCTGCACATTGGTTTGAATTTTCCTCCATCGAGCTAATGGAAGTTGCAGAGAGAGAGAGAGAGAGAGACAGCTACTCTTACTTGCTACGAATGTTAGATTGGCGAGAAGCTGTCATGCAGTCTATCCGTATATCTTTATAAATAAATACACTGTACACACATATATTGACACTAGTTCGTTTTTGTACATACATGACAATAGTGGCATTACTCTATATAATACATATACGATGGCATCTCGCGTCCAGTAATAAAAGGCCAAGACTTATCGTCCTGTATATGTTTTTTTGGCTACCTATCTGAATCCTTACTAGTAAATACTAAATGATAGGTTAGGAAGCTTGGACGTTTTGTAATGATGATTCAAGTAAAGTCACATAACACATTGCTATCAATTGTTATTATCAATGATATGATCATCCATTTTTCTTGAATTGAAGAATATTTGTGGATTGTTTTATAATAATCTGCACAAATGAGTTGCATTTGAATCTACGCAATTGATTTTGGGGCACATGATTGATAGCTACGGATTTGACATGACTCGTGCATTTCTCTAAAACTTTGGACAAGTTTCACACAAATTATTATGTTGTCAACGTCTGGCGAATCAGCAATCTGCCACCTCGTTCTCTAGACAGATAGGCACAAAATGCGAGAGCCACTTGGGGTAGAGCACGTGTCAACATCTGATCATCATCAGATCGCAGAGATCAACGGTGCGCTTGAGATGTGGCCTTTGGGGTGATTCAAAAGCCAGTTTATCCATTGTATTGTATGTATCATTAATATAATATATGATTTGCATTTGTATAAGTTGTTGTCGGACCCATGGACAATAACAATTTGGTATTCTTCATGTTCCGCCGAGTTGGACCAGCAATGTTCCGGAATACGCAGGTTGCCATGCCATGTGTAGCTGGATGTGGATGCCTTCTTCACCACCCATCCTATTGAAATTTGTAGCTTGCTCTTCTTTTTTCGGGCGTAGTCCAATGATTTGCAGACCAGTGGATCTCAAGTTCAAACGCTTATGACACCTTAATAATGTATCTGAGAGAAATCTCACCTTTTTTTAATTTTATAATTTAGAATATTACTTATATTATAAATAAATAAATAATCATTTTAGTTTTTTGCGTGATCTAAAATAATCGAGGCCCTGGTTTTCGAAAGCAGATCCAGATCAACAACAAAGTAAATGAGCTTGGCCCACTTGGCCAATAGTCAGATTCTGGATCTTCATGTGTTTACCAAAGGCACGGATGTCTACATAACGTAAACTACAGAAACAGCTATATATCATGTTGAGAGCCTCTATAATCAACTTGTGGCTGTAGTTTAGTGGTAAGAATTCCACGTTGTGGCCGTGGAGACCTGGGCTCGAATCCCAGCAGCCACACAACTACCATTTTCCTTTTTTCCAATTTGGTGTTATGTTAAGGTGTACTATTGGTATTTTTGGTAGCTCATCCCATATCTCAAAGTATTTGAACCAGCTTGGATTTTTCAATTAATTTGTTGGAGTTTCTTTATAGATGATGTCGAGTTCCACACAATTAATCAAAACATCATGTCCTTAGCAAAAATATATATAGATGATGTCAATTACAGTTCAAGTCTACACTCTTCAAAAACATTGAGACAAGTACACTCAAACCATGACTTCTTTTAATTATAAATATATGTAGAACAACTCCGTTCAAATTTTTTCAACATTCTCCTTTAATAATCGGAGAGTCGCAAACCAAATTAAACCCCTTAACAACTCCCAAATATTGGAGAAGAAGGGAAAAACCAAACTTCATAACCCACATTTTATATGTAGTGGGAATCATATATGTAATATTAAAACGCCAACCCTAAATCCACGGCATTTTAAATTCAATAGCTGATCACATGATGGTGCATTGGGTGTCCGGATCATAAAACGGGTGAATCTCCATCCGCGGGGGTGGCTGTGGAAAACTCAGTGGTTGCGCCGTCTGCTCATAGTAATTAGGGTAGTACCGTTGATGATGGTAGGGATCTGTTGCTATATGGGAGGAATTACCTGTTCCATTGGGATTATAATATCCGTAATCATGATTATTATAATAACCCTGCCCATAACCATGTCCATTTCTGTGATTAGCAACAGGCTTTGCCGTGTAGAACTGATGCTTATATCCTGAGTCAATCCTAAGCAGCTCTGCATGCTTCCCTGATTTTGATAATAACTTGAGAAGGGTGTCCGGCTCGATTGTGCCCGAAACATGCGCAATCCCGGCTTGTGCATCAATGGTGTAAGACACCCCTAATAACAAATCAGACGATTAATTTAGTGATTAAGATTCAAGAACAACGAGATTAACACAAAAGCAATTGTGCAAATCAGGCGATTAATATACGTACGTACCCTTGATTTTGCTCAAAACTTTGGTCATGGTCTTATGCCATCCAGGGGTGCTGGTATCCAATTTCAATTGACAACTCTACAAAATCATTTTGACAAAAAAGATTTTTAAAAAAAACTTGGAAATTAAGAACAGGGAGGGAGATAAACGACACTAACCATGAAACCAGTATTGCCATCGGACTCCGACATGATGAGAGAGAAAACTAAATTATGGTCGTAAACGAGTTGAGGAAAGTGTCTGCTTCTTGGTGTGTGCACTTTTCTGGTTTAAAACAGAGCTAACGTTGGGTGTTTAAATAGAGAATTAGTAGGTCGGGCCTCTAGAAAATATGGGGAATGATTTGTCGGGAATGTTTTGCATTAATTATGATCACTAATTAACCAATCAATCAAACACATTTCAAATTCAACCGGTGATTTCAAACTATTTCTCTTCTTTTTGTTATCCCTCATGAGATTCAACCAGGCGAAGATCTCTGAGAAGAAAATTTTCCATTTGGAGGATCACTCCATATTTCTGCATGCTAAAAAAACTCTAGGATTTGGAGATATCTCATTCTCACTCCCACAAAAAATATAAGGTAGGTTTTCTAGGAACCCTACCATCAATGCACCAAATGAGAAAATTGGTTTAGGAAAATGTCTAAAATGTAAGGGATCCACTTCCTATATAAGGTTAATATATATAGTATTTATTAGGTCCGTCTAATTCTCCGCAACAGTATAAGGTTAATATATAAAATATTATTTTAGGTAAAGATTTGCAAGAATGGATTTCTATTTGTCAGTTACTCATTTTTTCTTTAATAAAATACCATCCGCCTTTCTCTAAAAATAAATTAGTGTAGGACAATGTTTTCGATCCCCAGTTACACTTGCAAGTTTGAATCCGAGTCCTTTCCTAAGGATTGATAACACTTTTATGCCAAATTTTATTGTAAATTATGTAATGCTTAATAACGTTTTCTCTTTGAATATATCTCTGTGAGTGAGATCATAATTTATAAATAAAAAACGAGATTAATGAAATGATTTTATCAGTCACAATAAGACTAACGATGAGGCATTTGACATGCAAGCCAACTGCGGTGAAAGTATTGAAAGTGAGGTCCATGATCCCAAGCTTACCCTAGATTTGCATAATATTGTCTTCATGAAGAGCCCTTCACAAAATGCATAATGGGTAAGAATTTGCCTATACATAATTAATTCACCTAATAAATGTTTTTACGCAGGATTTTATGGTTGGATCAGCTTCATATATGAATTTATTGAGACCTTAGTATATCTTTTGGTGAAAAGATTAAAAACTAAATAAATTAAATTGAGACCTTAGTATTTTATTTTTAATCAAACCTCAAGGACTCATTTATTAAGAAACAAATAAGACGGGGCACGGAACCTAATTCCGACTCATACAATCAATCATAAGGGCGTCTTGAATAAAATTAGGGGCACCTCTACCCAAATAGACGGCTTCTCTTCACACAACCAGGTCTAGCCGGTCTATGCACAACGCAATTGGCTTCTCCAGGAATAAACTGAAACAAGACTCCGGCACCTGAAGCAATAGGGTCTTAATATCTTCATAGATTCTTGAATCTTCCCAGTATAGACATATCATAGCCTCCTCTTTGTTTAGCTGACACCACCACAGAGGAGTCAAGTGAGACCTTAGTATTTAGCATCAAAATATATACAAGAAAGGAACTATTCTAGTGCTCCATTTCCATACACATGTCTTCGCATCCCATCCCAAAAAATGCAAAACTTGGAAGCAGCACCAAACTAGTCTTCTGTGTGAGGGAATTCATTTGACTTGAAATTAGAAGAAATAACAAAAAAAATACCCAAAAAAGTGAAGACTTTGTAAGATTCAAATATAATGTCCATTACGATTCTACATTATTCTCCTCAAAAAACCGGAGAAATCGCAAAATATGAACTCGGACATGCCCTTAAAAATTGGGAAGAAGGGAAAAACAAAAATTCCAAACACAAGTAGTAGAAACCAAAAAACCAAGCATCCTATAATCTATGTAACATTTTGCGTTTTAAATTAAGGTCATTATTGAGTGATCAGAGAATGGAGCATTGGGAGTCTTCCGGCCGCGGCCGCGGCCGATGGTAGTGGTGTACGTGGTGGGCTGTTGTTGTTGCAAGGGTTCTATCTTGAGTGCGATCGTAATTAGTCCCATTACCATTTCCATGTGTGTTGTAAGTGTCAACAACAGGTTTGACACCAGAGAAGTGATAATGTTGTCCAGAATGAACTCTCAGCAGCTGTGCATGCTTCCCTGCTTTGGCAAATAACGTCAGAAGGGTGCTCGGATCCACCGTCCCCGAAACACATGCTATTCCGGCTTGTGCATCAATGGTATAAGATACTCCTTCATTAATTATAATCAAAATTGAATTAAGTCATAAAAAACAATAGTATTAGTAATTTTTTTTTTATACAAGCGATAGTCTAAACTACTCTAATGTATAATGTATGAGGAGGTGGACTCAAACTTTGGGGGCAAAATCACTGCCCTGACCAACTGACCTAACTCACATATGCATCTTTTTATCCATATAGTATATAGGAAACAAGCATGCTTACCACTGACATTCTTCAAAACTTTGATCATGGTCTTATGCCATCCAGGGGAACGGGTATCCAATTTCAATTCACAAGTCTACAAAACCATTTTGACAAAAAAAATTAAAACAAATAACTTGGAAATTAAGAACAGGGAGATAAACGACACTAACCATGAAACCAGTATTGCCATTGGACTCCGACATGATGAGAGAAAACTAAACTTTGGTCGTAAATGAGTGTAGAAAAAGTGTCTGTTTCTTGGTGTGCACTTTTCTGGTTTAAAAACAGAGCTAGCGTTGGGTGTTTAAATAGAAAATTAGTAGGTCGTTCCTTCCTCTAGAAAATTAGTGAAATGATCACTAATTAACCAATCAATCAAACACTTTTTAACCGGTGATTTCAAACTATTAATGTTAGTTTTATGGTAAATCTGTTCTCTTCTTTGTCTTAACCAGGCGAAGATCTCTGGGAAGACAATTTTCCATTTGGAGGATCTCTCCATATTTCTCCAGACAAAAAATCTCTAGGATTTGGAGATATCTCATTCTCATGGCTAACAAGTTGCTACATTTATGACTCTACAAGATCCCACAACACCATTTTCTTCACAATTTTGCGTTAGATTTGAAATGTGAGCATCAATTGTTTTAGCTTGGTGACCTTATCCATGATCTGCTATAATTAATATTTCTCGAGCGATTCTTGGGTCTCACCACTTGTATACATCTATGTGTCTAACTCTCGGGAACGTTACGTGAGGAAAATGTTTGTATACAACTAGGGTTAAGGTAGATTTTCTCGGAACCCCACCATCAATGCACCAAGTGAGAAAATTGGTATAGGACAATGTCTAAATTGTAATGAATCCACTTCCTATATAAGGTTACTATAGTATTTATTAGGTCCATCTAATTCTCCGCATCAGAGAGACAGTTTTAAAAGCTTACTCTTCTTTTTTAATATAAATGATTATTTTAGGTAAAGATTTGCAAGAATGGATTTCTATTCCACCCTTAACTCCGGCATTATTGAGTACGGAAAAATTCTATGGGATCTCCACCGTCGACTGAGAGATATGAAACAATATCGGTATCTTCCTCTAATAGCTTTTTCAGCTCTAGTGCTCCTATGCATACTTTTGAAAAATTCTTCTCAACCAATTGGAACCACCCACGACGCATCGCTTCTCAAATTTCAACCGGTATATGCTTCTTATTAATTATTTCTCTTTCATTAATCCGTGTACGTGATATAATATTGGTGGATGAATGATATGAATGAGTTTGTTACTAGAACCCAGAAAGCGCAGAGTTGGTGGAAGTTTTGAGGAAAGCATCGATGGCAGACAGAACGATCATACTTACCATTGTTGAGGAGGTCTGGACTGGTCCTGGCTCTGTTCTTGATCTCTTCCTAGAGAGCTTTCGGATTGGCCAATGTTGAGAGTATTTGTCCCACATTGAAAAGTTAAGGGACCTAGCCTGGGTTTATAAGGAGTTTGGCTACTCACCCCATTGCCAATTAGTTTTGGGGTGGAACCTCAACTTTCTTCATGGTATCAGAGCAAGGCTTCACGTGTTGGGCTCAACGGCCACACGTGCTCCCGCCACCAAATATGTATTGTCCACGTGTTAGGCTTGAAAGTTCGCCACATGTGCGAGGGCGTGTTGAGAGTATTTGTCCCATATTGAAAAATTAAGGGACCTTATAAGGAGTTGGGCTACTTCCCCCAATACCAATTGGTTTTGGGGTGGAACCTCAACTTTCTTCAGCCAAGAGACCAAATGGCTCTTGAATCACTTGATCATTGTCACTGTAGGCAGGCAAGCATTTCAGTACTGCAAGTCCCTGCATCCCCATTGCTTCCAGCTCACAGTCGGGATAGACATGACCTGCTACATAAAGTGCTTCAACTAGGCTACAATCTTGTTTTCACAGTAAGGTTTCTTGTTCCTTGTGTGATGGTTGAAATCAAGATTGGTCATGCAGATCGTAATTGAAACTTAACTTGGCAGCAGGAGGTGGATGTTATGTGGTTCAGAAACCCAATACCACACTTCAACCCCCAAGATGAAGTCACAATTCCATGTGATCTCGAACCGAAAGATGGAAGCAATAAACAGGATAGGGGGCTCTTTTATGTGAAATCGAATTATATATCAGTCGAATTCTTCAATTACTTGAAATTGGTCGGGGTCCTATACCCAACACTCCTTCTGAATCTCTCTGTGAGATTGCAACAGAACAGGAGATTATGGAAATGCTTGGAATGCACATAAAATTTCTTGATAAAGCTTACTTTGGTGGATTTTGTCAGCCACTTAAGAGCAATAGTGAAGTTTATACCATGCAATCAAACTGCTGTGAAAAGATTGAAAGTAAGGTCTATGATCTAAAGCTTGTCCTAGATGATTGGAGCAACTTCACGGACAATCATCAAATAATAGCTTGGGGACATTGTCTTCATGGAGAGCCCCAGACAAATGCATCCAATAAGAATTTGCTTATTGCTGCTACATTCAGTTTACTTGCAGAGAATTAATCATGATCAAAATTCTGGATTCAATTCTTACATGCAATGAGGGATTCCATTATTTTCACAATTAGGTCAAGGGAGCAGGGATCAGTATTTATCAAGTATTTCTCCATAATGCTAGGCTTTTATGGTTGAGCTTCATATACATTTCAGTAAAAAGAGAAAATTAAAAAAGGTGAGAAACTTTATGTAAAACTGAGAATGAAGGCTACAGCATTTATCTATTTGAACTTTTCTAGTGCTCCATACACATGTTTTCATGTCACATACCAAGTACTTCAGAACTTGGAAGCAGCAACAGAGAGTTCTTGAATTTATCTTTTATTTAAGCTTCAATGGTGGAAGATTGCAATTTGGCATATACATGGGGGAAAAGGCGGCAACACAATTAGCCAGATAAAAGCATCGCAATTAACACAAATTATCCGCATACAGAAGCACGAATGAAGAATCATAACATTATAAAAATTACGATAGAAAACAGATTTTGCTTGAAGTCAATCGAAGAACTGAATACAACTCTTATGCAACTTACATGGACCAAAGCCTCTCTACATCAAGGGTAGATATTCCTACAAATCAAAGGATGCACAGAATGTGGTCAATAGGGTATGTCTCCTTGAGGTAGATCCCAGTTATCGCCGTCATCATCGCTCTTCTTGGTTTCAGGGACTTCTGGCTTCTGCTGAAAAGGTCTTGAAAAGGGACGCCGGCTGATAAAAGACACGAGCATTCAATAATCATTTTCAACGGGGGAGAACTAACCAAAACAAGTCATTCAAGTCTGTTTGTGATTTGTTAGTCATATGTTTTACACACAGAACGATTGGATTGTTAGGGATTAAAGAACCCACATTCAACAATTACAAAACACATTTTACATTGTTTCACAGAGCAAAGATATGACATGTTCTTCTCAGCTACAATGCATAAAGTTCAAATCTTTTTTTCTCTCGATTTCAAAGGTTGAACATTTGTATCTTAATTTAAATTCAATTATCTAAACTAAAGCTACCAAACAATCATAAAAAATGAGAATAATCAACTTCCCTTCCACTCTTTCCTATTTCCTCAATTTCCCGAGCAACCAAAAAAAGAAATGTGACGAAAAGCAGGAAAAAGCCCAGAAGTAAAAGAGACCTTCTTTTGTTGCGCTTAGCAGCGTCACGCGTCCTGCGCTTCTTCTCGTCTTGCTTGTTCTCAAAGTACCTCCTCCTCTTAGTTTCTTGAATAAGACCGGCCCTCATGACCTCTCTCCTGAACCTGTTGATCAGCCTCTCCTCGGGTTCGTTGTCGTCCACAATAACTTGCACATTGTAGGCCGACTTAAAGAAGAGGGTGTTGGCATAAGCCAGAGAGGGGCATATCACAGACTCTACAGAAGAAGAAGAAGAAGAAGAAGAAGAAGGGCCATAAGCAGAGGGACCCACTTGAGCCATCAGTGGGGCCACCCCATCTCCGGTCTTCTGGGTCTGTAAAATAGGGAGCTGGGTCGGTGGGGTTTTGGGTTGTGATGGTAGCTTTGAGGGATTGAGGAAGGAGAACAAGTTGCAGAGAGAGGATGAGGCAGCCATGGATTACTTTGTTGATTGGAGTGATAAGAATTGTCGACCTTCTGATTTTGGTGTTATCTTCTTTTCCGGTTTTTTTTAACTCTTTTTTTTTTTTTTTTTTGAGAGGGATAGGATAGACAGAGTGGTCAGTGTGAGATTAGCTTGATAGAGTTGGGCCTGTCGATTTTTATAATACATCAATGTGTTTGATGGACTTCAAACTTGGACCAAAAGTCCTAGTCAATCACTTGGGAGTTAGACCTGATATTGTAGAGGCCCAGTTCAAAAAAGTGACCGTAATGTTTTGTGCCTTACCTTTTTTTTCTCATATAAGCGATATTGGGGGAAAAGGGAATTAAACCTAGGACCTCTAATGCATAGATAAATATTCTTAACCACTAAGTCCCTTACATTTCGTGCCTTAAGTTGAGTTGGAAGTTGTAATGTTGTCATAGTAAATAGGATGAGTTTAGGTTTTTGTTTGATTGATAAATTAATTTTTTGTATGAAATAGTAGAACCTGCCTGGGTTGGAGCCTAGCTTGGCTCCCATTTCTGGTCATACTGAATGGTCATCATTTATGGGAAGTGATTATAGTGGCCAATCCAATAACAATATAGAAAGATTTAGGCACTCTTCTTCTTTTCCACTGTTCTTCTTTCTGTCATGTTATTGTCAAGGGCAAGGTTTATCATTTTTTTATCTGGAAATAATATATTGAACCTTTTGTTTTGTCCCAGCTTCTTCTGATACTATGAGCTTGTACAGTATGCTTACAAACTGCCATATATGTCGATTTCAAAAAAGAAAAGAAACAAATCTTGGGAGATTAGAAAGAAAATGAAGGCCAGTATGGAGGAGACTGTTTGTTGCAGCCGTTGCCTCTGCACAGCATCAGAAGGTCTTTGTAGTTGCGCTGCGTCGGTCTGTCTGTTCTCCATCTCCCAACCTATAGCCGATATACTAGACTCTATAATATTATTATTAATAACCTTCGAATGATATATATATATATATAGATGTTGA